TTCAACTCGTCGCAACACATACCTAACCTTTTTTACAGTACCGCCGCTGCACATGCACATGCGTAAGTGCGTTGCATATGCATATGCGCTATTGCTATGCGTTTATGTGCAACTCTTTATATGTATTATAGAAAGGAAAAGAAGAAGAAAAAAAACAACAACATCGAGCGAGAGAGGCGTTGTATATTATACGGGAGGAGTAGGGGTACTTATAAGCTCTCCTGCGTGCATACGGCGTATAATCGTGTGCAGCAACGGTAGCAGAAGGTTAGGGCTCTCTCCGATATATATATATATATATGTATATATGTATTATTGCTGCGTAACGTCGCCAATAATTCGCGCGCGTTGCGAATGCGACGAGTCTCGCTCTCCTAGGGTCCCCTGCCTGCTGCTACTGCTGGGGGAAGGGGCAGAGGGGGATGTATGGCAGGCACACAATACACAAGAGTGTGTATTCGAGACAGCAGCAGCAGCAGCACATAAGGTACCCCGCGAAGGGTGGGGAGACCCATCAAAGGGGCCATTGATGGCATATAAGGAGGGAACGAGAGAGAGAAAAAAAAGTTCGGCCTATAACATGCACGCGTAGCTCAGTAGTTCGTAAGGTAGGAACATATAGTTCTCTCTCTCTCTTTCTTTCTTTCTACATTCAGTCCAGCGCAGCGCTAAGAGAGAGAGAGAGAAACGTTACGTTAGCGACTCTCGCTGGGCCTTCCGGCAAGTTTGCAGTAGTAGTCTGAATGTTGTGCTCGCGCTATACACATTATCCCTGCCTCTTCTTTCCTCTTCTCTCGTCGTCGCTGACGCTGCCGCTGCCTTAGCTGCTGCTATAAGCGACCAAGAGCCCGCTGCTCCGAAGAAGAAGAAGAAAACTCCGAAGGGTTTTACAGTTATACTTACCACGCCAGGCTACACACCGGACTATTATAACGTGCTGCTGCCTCTCGGGCTGTGTACTACTAGTACCACTACCACTACTACCTACCTATACTATACCTCTTGCGCACCTTGGCACGCATCTTAAAGGGGCCCACTTCGGTGTCTGTGTGCGCGCGTGTCTATAGTATATCTATATAGGTACGGAGAATAACTCACACTCACTCGCCGACGTTGCGACTATACACATCTAATACCTACACTGCGCCGCTGCCCGCCTCTCTTGCTGGCCAATGTGGCACATTGGCAGCTAGATATAGAAGGAGCCTCATTGGTGTTTCATACAGGCAGTTCACTCCGTTGCACTGGTGTGCGTGACTACTACTACACTTGAACTCTCTGTGTAAGTGTGCTCGCGAGTGTCTTAGCAGCTCCGTGTGTGCTGTTGTACGTTATACCTATAGCCCATATAGCGCCGCGCGCTGGGACGACGTCTATATAGTGCGGATAGTTAATATCGCGCTAACACACATACTTGCACTCGACACACGGCCTACAGTCTCGCTCAGTCGGTGCCGCGCACGTATACGCGAAACGAGACTCACAAGATCTCGTCGTCTCTCTGTGTGTTTGTGTTTTTTTGTTTCGTTTTTTGTTTTTTTTTTTATGCAATAAGAAAAAAAAAACAAAAAAGGTGTGAAGAATCATCGTCGTCAACATCAGCTGCTGCGACGCGCATCGTCCCGTTTTGTGATAGTATCATTATAAGTGTGCACATTATCTTGGTGTCGTGTGCCTCTCTTACCTTTATTATTACGACGAGTGCGTTGTGTGCGAGGAAGAACCGTGTTTACGCTGTCTGGTGCGGCGCGAATTTCATGCTCGCGCGAACGAGTGAACAGATTTTATAACGAAGGTATTGAATTGGTTTCAAGTATTTACAAAAATAAATTACAGTGTCTTCGACCCTTTCTCTCTGTCTATATCTCGTGAGTTGGTTTCTCACAAAAATCTCTCCACCGATCGTCTCCCATCGATTTCTGTGTATGTGCATATAAAATTAAGTAAGTTGGTGGCCGAGCGTGTGTGTGGCGATATAACCGCGATTCGCGCTCGTATAAGTGCAGCGGCAAGTTTTTCTTCTCTCTCTGTCTCTCTCTTTATATAGGAGACTCGTGTGCAAAATGAAAATCATCGTTGTCGTTGCTCGTCGTCGTTCAAAGTGCTGATTTATATTATTGTGAATATATGTGACGACGAATCGTCGACGTCGCGCTTTTTCCTAGCGTGCACGATCGCGTCGCAATGGTGTGAATTATATGTGCAATGATTGTCATCGTCGTCGTCGTCGATCGTCGTTGCCCCTAGATATAGGCTTCGCGCCGATGTTTTGTTTGTTTTTTTTTCGTGTTAGCGTTTGAAATGTTTCACTCTGCATCGGTTTTTCATACGATTCTACGAGTTCAACGGGTTTTAATTACCTCTCTATCTCCTTAATACACACTTGGAAGCGTGTTTGATTCAAACGTCGAGATTTAATAACGACTCTATAATGGTAGTACATAGCGGTAGTAGAACCGGAGCCATAAGGCAAGTTTCGCCCTCTTCGTTTTGGTTCGGTACTATACACTCTATTACATCATTCGTTACAAGTCAGAGGGACTCGTGTGCTCAGTTACGTAGGCAAGTTTTTTTTCTTCCACGACGAGAAAAAAAATGTCCGCTTCTCTTTCCCTCGACTTCGCGCAAGCACACGCACGCATCGTTTAAAGCACGCAGAACGAGCCACGCGCGCGAGTCGATTTAACCTTTTTTTTTTTTTTTTTTTTAACAAGCAGAGTGCGTAAGGTCAGCTGCAGCTGTACCTACTCTCTCGGTTTGATGTGCAGCTCCCGATTTCCGCTTTACAGGCATGCCGACTTCCTCTCGCGCAGCAGCAGTAGCATCTCTCTCTCTATGATATGATGCCCTCGTGGGCTGTGTCATGGTGCAGTACTATATGCTGCATACGTGTGTATGCGCGTGGGTATACCTGCGCAAAAGGTTTCGAATTCAAGCCACAAACGGTCATTCTCTCTTGGGTGCGTGCGATTCCCTTCTTTTTTTTCTTTCTTTCCTCTCGTGTAGGTATGTACGTACATGTTACACTCGTAGCGAGGCATTTAACGCAGCGGTACACATGCTCACGCACAGAAACGAAGGTTCACATTTTCTCTCTTACTCTCTTGAGTTTTATTAATGCGAAGGAATAGAAATTGCCTGCGCGCCTCGCTACGCTACACTTGCTCCGCGAGTTATTCAGCGCGGCCCATCTATATATTCTGCACACGAGCGTACACATAGATATGTGTGTGTGTGTGTGTGTGTATGTGAGTGTGTATGACTGCTTGCTGTGCCATATAGCTTAGACATGCTCGTCGAACGTATAAGCGTTGAGATACGGAGAGTCTAGTTAAAAAGAAGGGATAGTACTATACACACCAGTTATACGAGAGATAGGCGCGGAGGTAAAGGCTAGAGCGAGATAGAGATATGAGTACTGTTGCTGCTGATACTCCTCTCTTGCTGCTCTGCCTCCTAAGTCTCTCTCTCTCGCTCTCCCTCGATACTGTGTACTGCTGCTGCTGCGCTGAGTTGAGCTGGCCGCGCGCTGACGCTTTTGCACGTTAAACGGAGTCTCTGCTTTATCTGTGCGAGTGTGCGAGTCGGAGAGCTTCCACCAGTAGCAGCGCCAAGCACGAGGAGAGGGAAAACAGAGATAGAGATAGATACCGTCGCGCGAATTCTTAGGTTTAGAAGGAGAGAGAGAGAGAGAGACAAGGCGCGTTTTATATATTCCATATACACATACACACTACATACACAACTGTGCCTCGCGCTCACATGGTTATATTACATGCCCAAGGTGGAAAATGATACATGTGTTGGCGCAGAGTATAAGAACCTATACGCCACACCACTGCACTGCACACGCGTGCCTACCTATATACGTCTACGTCTGTGTTATGCATGCACACACATGCGCGCGTGCAATGTGCATACGTATACACGTTCTGCGCACGCTTGTGTGTTGATGATATTAAACGACGCAACGACGACGACGACCACGACGATCAGCGCAGCAGCAGCAGCACGAACCATTCGCACTCGCGCTTACTTGTGCACTTCTATATACATGCACAGCCGAATACATACAAACGTTCAAATACGTGTGTATAAAAGCGCGCAGAAACGGCACGACGACAACGACGCGAAATACATATACATGTAGTATAGGTTCGAACACAAGTACATGTGTTCGCGTTTACATTTATATATATGTTGTGAGCTTGGCGTATGCGCGCCTCTCTGCTGGGCTGCTGCCGCTGCTGTTGTATACATGAGCTGGTGTGCGTGTACGTGACTTAGCGTCCTTGAGAGCGTGGCATATAGTGCGCCTATGTGTTGCTGATGTTTGCTGCTAAACACATCGCTGTTGCTGCTACTACTGTTGTGCTCCGATGATGCTGGAATAGTATATAGTCCTTCTCGTATCTCTCGCTTAATAAACTCTGTATCTACTAATAATAATCGGCCGACAGCGAGCAGCAACGTATATCCAATAAGACGTTTTCCTTCTTTCTGTATAATAATCTGTCTACACTACGCCTTTTTTATACCCCGCCTCCCGCATGTGCGTATGTGAGTATTAACAAGACGTACTTCTTCGATTCTTACATTTGCTATTTTTGCAGTGACCATTATGTGTATACTGCTGGCTCACTTGTATACACTTTATTTAATTTTTTTTCATTCTGCACTTCTCTGCTTCCTCTTCATAATTCTGTGTATGAGTACTCGTTCAAGGTACACTGTTTGTCTCTTTGTTTACCTTGAGCTATTAGTTCAGAAGAGTAGAGAGGAAAATGGAAGTTACCAACTATTCAATGTTATGCCAATTCTTTTTATGCCTATTGTTGTTTGTTATTTCAAAAAGAGAAATAACACAAGCAATAACCAACTGGTGTATAATATGTTCTTTAACAAAACTACTATTCTCATATCCAAAATGTTCAATATGTCCCTCTAGATTTTAAAATGATGACTTTATGGAAAAGTAAAATTTTATTATTATGTTCCAGGGTCGGGATTGGAGATAAACAAGATGGACCAGCAGTATTGCCTCCGCTGGAACAATCATCCAGCTAACTTAACTGATGTACTGAGCTCGCTACTGGCTAGGGAAGCACTTTGCGATGTCACTTTGGCCTGTGTCGGAGAAACCTTCAAAGCTCACCAAACAATTTTGTCAGCATGCAGCCCTTATTTCGAAAATATCTTCCTATCAAACATTCATCCACATCCAATAATCTTCCTCAAGGATGTCAATGACACAGAAATGAGGGCACTCTTGCACTTTATGTACAAGGGTGAAGTCAATGTCAGTCAAAATTTGCTACCCATGTTTCTCAAAACAGCTGAAGCATTGCAAATTAGAGGTCTCACTGACAATGGTGTACAAAACAAGAGCGATGGCAAAAGCCCAAGCCCTGAACCTGAAACACAACCTCCTCAAAGGCCCACAGACTCTCCGCATAGCCATAGTACAAATGAAAAGCGAAAACGAAGAACATCTGGAAATTATGACCCAATGCTAATACCTGGAGACAGATTCCATTCAGATTCTCAGGTATGTAAAATTGTTTGTTTCATTGATAGTTTCAATTTTGACTTGAAAGTTGACAATCGTATTTAAAAGAGGTTAGGGTAACTGAACAAACTGTCACTAATAAGTGAATCTGAAGCTGTACTATAACTATTTTAAATTCTATTATTAATGTAAAATTAGAAATCCTTGCAATAAACTACTATAAAAATAGAACTATACAGATGTGTTAATGATATAATTACTCTTAGAAAATTTTTGTGTAACAAAGAATAGCAACCTGACAAATTAGAAGCTAGGCTTTATTAATTAATAGAAGCACATGATATTTTAACATAAAAAATGAAAATAAGCTTATTCTTCAATTGTGTAAATAACTAAATATTATTGCCAACAATCATTTTTCTATGAGAACATGCATCATAATGTCTCAACTCATCATTGTGGCATCGTGTGCTTTATTTACTTATATCTAGTACTAGAACTTTCAAAACTTTCACTCATAAGCTGTATGCATTTTATTTGACCTAATTTTGTGATGCATTCATGTAAAGTCATAAATTTTTAGAATGTTTTGAAACTTCACATTTTTACTTATTGAAATTTTTTTTATCAAATCTTGCGTAACACTAAAATAAAAATGATCCATGTAAAAGCTTCTGATTCAAGTGCCACAGTAAAAAACAGTAACGGACAAATCAATGTAACGAGAGATCTTTGGGTGAAATTTCAAGCTCAAATAAATAAAAATGTCTTAACAAAAATTCATCTATTATATAGTTCAATATTAACTGATTTTTTTTTAATGAATAATCAAAATTTTTTATTATTTATGTTTTAGGCATCTTCTCAAGGTAGCTACAAATCAAGTCCTACAGTTCCAAAGACAAACAACACATTGGCAGGAGATTTAGATGATAGTGCACGTTCAACTTCTCCAGCAACACACAATCAAGGTTCCATAAAACAGGAAATTGAACATCAAATATCTGATTTCCATGAAAGCTTGCCGCTACCTGTAAGTATTTGTTTACTAAAATCATTAATATAGTACAGTTGGTTTTTCCAATATATGCCAAATTTTCACTGATATACAAGAAGCATACTGCCATTGATTACAACCATAAATCATTTAAATAATTAAGCATGTTTTAAAATCTTAAGATACTGAAAAATGCTAAATTTGAATGTTAACAATTAATTTGTAAATTGCAGTATGTTTCTCTTACAAATAGTTGTGTAGATGTTTGAATTTCTAGTTGTAATTATTTTTGTTTGACTTTTTTTGTCTTTTTAACAATTTGAGCTGTTTTAATTTTGTATTTTATTACTTGAAGTTGACAGTAATTACAATAGTTCGAAATAATCTTTGCTCTCCGTAAATTCACAAATGCTGTTTCTTATTGGAAATTCGAACGAAAGTTCTTAGTTTCATACAATTGTAAAACTGAAAAGTAACAATGGATTTACAAAAAGTGATAATTGACAATGAATGCAGCATTTATTGATTTTATAACAGACCAATAATGTTATTGATTTCTCATTCATTATTGTGTAACAACTGCACAACTGTTAGTACATTAACACAGTAATTCGTTGTAGACATAGGTTTTTGTCTCGTTGCTTAGACTTCGGTTATTCCTCGTCGGTTTTAAACGAGGAGGAAAGGAATAAAATCGCTAATTAAAGACAAAAAATCTCAATCAAATCGAGAATTAGAATTTTAACGTTCAATAAAGCGGAAACAATCCTTTCGTTTCCTTTCCTTTCCTTCTTTGTTAACAGACCGACTCGGACGATGATAACGACTCGGACTCAAGCTCGATTTTAATAATCGATGAACCAGTGCCGATGGAAGTTATAAATGAAAATAAAGAATTGGAAATTTCTAATATTGTTAGTAATGAACCGAAAGAATGTGAAACTTCCGATATTGTTATTAACAACGTCGTATCGTTGAATCGGCCTAGTAACAGTCTGCGCAGCAGAATTTTCCGACCGCGCTGGCTGCAAGAATTTCCATGGCTAAGCTATGACGGCGAAAAAATGTTCTGTACAGCTTGTCTCAAACACGTTAAACCGGCAAAAAGTACCTTCGTGCGCGGCAATCCAAATTATAGATTCGAAGTTATCGTTCATCACGAGAAATCTCGTGTACATAAGACGAGCGTACAATTCGAAGAGAAAATGAAAGGAGAAAAAGAATAATGTAGATTAAATATCGGACTCAGTAAATTTTAAATTATTTTTATCGACTGATACTTTACTGAGAATATTATAGTCTTGTTTTTAAGCGAATTTTAGACGAAAAAACTGAACGTGTCTAATTGGTCATTGATTATCATTGATGTTAACCATACGAAGTTCTTGTCCCTAATTTTTTTATATTGACATACGCGAACAAGTATTACATGTAAGTCTTTGTAGTAGTAAAATTTGTATCAAATTGTAGCACTGTATTGTAATTCGTACAATAAAGGTCATGAAATGAATTGAAATGGACAGCGTATTTTGTTGCAATTTTAGTTAGAAAATTATCAAAGTTAATCCAACATTGGTAGTTAAATTCACAATTTGCTCCTTTATCACAGACCCACCCAGTCAGTTTATTAAACGAAGATAGTGGTCCTGCACCTCCACAGCTCAACGACAGCAACGCAAGTCTGGAAGCGCCCGAACATCACAATCCTCGAGAAATCATTGACGGACTTGATGGTGAGAATATAATTTTACTTATCAATTGAAAATTTTTACTTCTTCACCGTATACGATATGTATCATACACTTTTTAACATCTTTTTGCTATTATGCTTTCTTCAAAGTAGCTTACATACGCCAGATTTATTCGGTAATACTCTACAAAAAGTGTATGATAATAAAGAAATCGAGGGAAATTATCGGTTTTTAACGAAAAAAAATATCAAATTAAATTCATATTGGCTTTGAACTAATTCAATCATTGAGGTTATTAAAAAAAATTTTTGTTGAATTTCATTTTTAGTCCCTCTATTTCTAAAGCTGTTTACATTAGTCGATTTTTAAAAAAAAGTACCTGAAGAGCAGATAATGTAATATAATTTTCAGTAAAGTTACTGAATCCGACTTTTGATTAACTCCATCATATATCTCTTGTCCTCAGTATTTATTTATATAATTCAGTTTCATTTTGGTCTTTTTTTCTTAAACTTGGTGGTAGTTCAACTATCGTGCATTCTTTTCTATATTGTCATTGTGTGGTAGTTTACTTTTTTTTTCTTAAGTTACGAGTGAGTGTGAAAGTTTGTTCATTATTATGTTCTTGGATTTATTCTTTTTTTTTATTTCTTTTTTTTTCAATTTCGTTTGCATTCTTCCAATTTAATTTCATTTTTCACTTCGTTTCAATTTTCTATCCTAACAAAAAATCGCCGGAGCACTTAATCCATAATAATTAACAAACAAAAAAACAGGCATTTGGTCTCTTCCTTCTCTTAAAAAATGTCCGCCCTAGCATATTGTGTATAAAAGTATCATATAGAAATACGGGGGCAGAATAAATTGCGAATACTCATTGCGAACAAAATGATGTAGACCTGGTATTTATAAATATACAATTGAGATGTACTTTTTTAAATTAACAATTGTATATATGTGGAACGGTCTTTTACATATGTTCCGTGTAAATATTATGCACCAACCAAAAGGAATCTTTTTTTATCGTGTATGTATATATAGATCGTACATATTAGCTGTAAGATTTTTCTTTGTGGATTTCAACGATATTAAACACTCAGAAAAAAAGACCCGGTCGAGAAACTTGGAACAACAATTCGATTTTCTGCCTGTAGGCAGACAAAGAACAATTTTTTTTGCTCTCTTGGCTTATTTTTCCACATTGGACGTGTATAGCTACAATGGAAAGCGATCATATGCAACGGGTTATCCGTCAAAAATATACAGGACCCCTAAAAAATCTGCTTCATCGCACAGACAAGTTCTTGATAGCGAATGTAGCGTAATGGAAAAACGTTACCATACATAAATATTATGTATTTGATGCTCAAATGAGCGCATCGAAAATTATTAATTAAACGTAAAAAACAACGAAATTTCCGTAGAATTACTCCGTTATTCGTGTTAAAAACTAAAATATGAAATACGTGCTAAAAACATTCAAACTAGACGCGCGTATTATGTACGATTTGAAAAAAAAGTAAAAGGGGGAGAGGGTCGACGGGGGGAAGAGGGTTGAAAGCTGCCAACCAAGCTAGCGTACACTACTGCACACGCACATGTACACGAATCATTCGTCTATTGTACGTGGAAAAATACGAGGGTTGCTCGCTCTGCCTGTGTACCACATATACTTGGTTTATAACGACGAAAAAAAAAGGAGAGGAGAGGGATTAACACGTTTCTCGTACTCGTAGTCTTCGTCGTCGTCACCGCCGCTGCTGCTGCTGTGTTGCGTGGCGGACAGGCAGGCAGGCAGGCAAGAAAACCCATGCTGCAAGAAGTACAGCACATATACACACACACATACACTCACAGACACACAAAACTGCTCTAGTACTGCTTATTGTGCTGTTTACCGAGCGCATGTGTGTTGCTATATATTCAAGAGTCGAAAAAGAAGCGCAGCGCATGGAATTTTTCCTCGGGCATATACACGCATACACACATACATACACATACGAACACACATAGACGCGAAAAGAGAATAGTTTGAGAAAAAGGGGTCGCTGAACTTGCCTTAATCGTTGGTGAAAAAATGAGCAGACGCTCGCAATTCGCGCGCGCGCGTGCATGTAGGTAGTAGGCACACACACACACACACACACACACACACACACACACACACACACACACACTCGTGCATATATATCTGTATATATGCATGTCAAGTTTTTTTAACTACGTACATTTCGTAAATGTAATGTGCATCCGAAGACATTTTTTCGCTCTCTTTCTTTTAATAATTCATATGCGCGCGCGCGGCAGCGGCGGCCTGTGGTGTGGTGCTGCTGCTGATGAGACAGAAATATCTTAGGTGACAAATCGAGCCGTTGTTGCTGCTGCGAGCGTTTTTGCTTGCTGCAATTCGATCCGCGAGCGAGCAAAGCTTTACATCGGGTATATAAAAGTTTGAAATAAAAAGAAAAAAAAACGAAACGATATTTTTTACGCTCAATGTTACAAACTTTTTTTTATTCATCATCAAGCGGCAGCAGCAGTTCTTCGCTGCTGCAGCAAAGTTGCAGCACCATCTCGTCAGCATCTGTTAATTACTTTTTATTTATAGACCAATCTCTATCAGCTTATTCCGAGATTTTTTTTCTCCGTCTCTCTCTCTCTCTCCATCTATATAAGCGGCTCTCGCGCACATATACTTGGCATGTCAGACGACTCTGTTATTTCATGCATTATCTATTGTACATAGCGCATAGACAGAGAGCGAGACACGGAGACCTTCGTCCTTATTTTTTCTTGCTATCCTTGCAATTGTCGTACTTACGTACGTAAGCATGTGCGCATGTGTGAGCGCACTCGCTCGGATCACGTTCATCATTACAAAGGCTGCGCTGCGCTGTGCTGTGCTGTGTGCTGTGTGCAGCGCAGCAGCGAGGAGAAGCAAAAATTGTTTTCTCATTATAAACGACGTAATACGATGATTTTATCATGATGATAATGCCTGGCGATACGTATACACCTCTAAGGCAGGAATAATAGTTTTATAAAAATCTTGATTAAATTTCATCGACTCATCGTTATTGACGCGCTTTTGCAAATTAATTAGCCTCGCGCGCGCGGATTACACGCCCTTCGTAAAATTTGTTTTTTTTTTTTTTTTTTTGTTATTCTTCTTGTTTTATTCTAGCGAAACTTGCGTAAGCTTGCAGGCTTGTTGTTATTTTTCTAGGAAAAATTCTTCCTTGTTACGACGCGCGCCACACACGCGTCGTCGTGCCTTATCGACAAAAAAAATTGAGCGAGCCGATTTTCTCGAAGTACAAAAAGCCAACGACTCTCTTATACTTCGACTTGTAACACAACGAGCCGCCGAGCGACGAGAGAGAGAGAGAGAGAGAGAGAGAATGACTAATTTTCTGAGAGCGCGCGCGAGAGCTCGTGAGTGCATTATTTCATTATCGAATCACTGTTTCCACATAATAATAATTAACGCGCGTACTCTCCGGCGTATTGTATTATATTATTATCATAAAGGACTTATATCGAGCCGAGCGAAACATCATTACTTACACTCTCGGAGAGCTTGAAAGCTGCGAGCGTCGATATTTTCGACTGCTCGATAATGTTGATACTCACATGCATAGGTACACACATATATCCAATGGGCGGAGTAATTACATTATATGCATCGAGCTCCGTTATTCCAGAATTCTAGACACGTGTCAATTTTTTTTTCTTCTGTACGTAGCATATTATAACGCAAACGCGAGTGTTTTGTTTGCCAGTGCGCAAAATACTTTCCGTTCCGCTCGCGCAAGGAAGTATGATCGGTAAAATATCATACCGAGTATGTATGTACTACGTGCATCACGGACTCATCTGTACCGAATATATAACTTGTTCTTTTTTTTTCTTCTTTTTGTTCGTCGTCCTCGTGCCGAGAGAGAAATTTCGAATTTAAATCGAATGCGCGCAGTGCTCTCTGTACAGTAATAGTACCGGTACGTGAATGTATGGAAAAAAAAGAAAAGAAAAGAAGGAGAATAAGATGAATTTGTCAGATCTAACTTAAAAAAAAATAAACGCTCGACTTTTTTTGAATTTTTGCGTTGCGCATTATTATGCACACGATTATGTGCGTTTGTGTGTGTGTGTGTGTGTGTGTGTGTGTGTGTGTGTGTGTGTGTGTGCATGTGTCATTGACACATGCTGCGTTACATAAATGAGATCTCTCGAAGGAGTCTTATATAGAGAGGCTTCTCGTACACATGATCATCGATCGAGCGATGATCGGTTATTTACGTTACAAAATATGCGAGAGGATTAACATGCGATACGTTATTAGATACGATCTGATTTAATTTTTTTTTCTCTCCCTCTCTCTTTATCTCTTTCCCTCGACAGAGGCGTTTATGCATATACCTTCTTTTCGTCATGATTTACAACTCAGATACCTCGTGCGCGCGCGCTGCATATGGAAAACATAAGCAGCCGAGTTACCTTGACTGATATATTCTGGATTTTTTTTGTACCTTGCCATGTTTTCTATTACGTTATCTCTACAAAAAAAACGCGTATTATGTACTTGCGAAACGAAGTTTTTTTTCTCTCTGAAGACTATTTCTATACCTTTTTACTTCTATAATCTTTTTTGAAAGTAGACATTGATGCGCGTCGCAAATGCGGTGCCGAGTGTATTGTTTGAAGTAAAAATTTGGAAACAATTGCTCCTATATAGAGAGATGTTGAGAAATTAAGGCATCAGTTTGCGACTTTTGGTGTGACAGCTTTTCTGTACATCATTTTAGGCTAAAGTAGATTGATTGATTTGGACACACTCTTCTACGAGTTTGTTTTTTGCTTTTTTTTGTATAGTAATTGATTGAAGTTTGCTCTCTCGTGTGTGCCGTATAAAATTGCAATTATTTAGGAATTAAATAGCTCACTTGACAAAAAAAAAGATCGAAACTCCAACTGCAACTGACAATCGTCGCAACAGGATGATCATCTTGAAGATAGAAACAACGTCGCGATGCACAATACTA